CCCCTTTCCTCTTCCACCGACGTCTCGGTCGTCTCTGCTGCAGCGAAGGCAACCAGCCTGAGTGCCCTCAGCACCCTCGGGGCACAGAGAGTGTCTCCCCGCAGTCGGCCGTGGTGGGGTCACCCCCCCCCACTCTCTGCCGACCCGGGTAAGGCCCAGGGACTCGAGAGGCTTGCAGAGAGACTGGGACACAGGTGGTTGTTTTTACCTGAATTAAAATATTAAAAAATCAAGTGACCTTTAAAAAAAACAGAAAAAAACTATTTGCTGAACATTCAATTGTTACCAATAGCTGGAAGAAACAAAAGAAATTGTGAATTTAGGTTAAAAAATAAAAGAAATGAATCTACATGGAAGTCTTTGCAATGGGTATCAATGGTACACTGTCTTTCACCAAAAACTTCTGGCAATGCTACTAATGTTTTAATTCCAACTGGGGAAGCTTGGGCACAGACAATGTTGTGGTGACTACAGGCACTTTAAGCATCCTAGGCTTTGCTCCAGGTGAAAGCAGGTTTGTATCTGTGCTGTTAGTATTCTAGACACTATTTTTGGGTGGAGGATTCTACTGGTGAAGCCACACCAGGATTAATGCTGGGTTAGGCAGTCCTGGGAAAAAATTCTAGCACAGAGTATATTTTCAGACCTTCCATGAACTTTTTTTTCTGGCAGCAGATATTATATATAAGTTATTGCCAGCAGCTGGCTTACAACAGCTGTTTTAATTGATCTGCTTATCAGTTCAGTGCCTCTTGGGAGAATTTGGCTTTTTCAGAGCTAGTCAGGAATGGTTTAATTCCCTAAAGTTTTATTACATACTAGGTGCTCAGATTTTTTCAGGTGGTTCCTTAGGTTGTAGCTCTAATGGTCAATATCTGCAAAACTTTTCAAAATGTTTAGAATACTTGAGAGAAATGTATAAAATAAAAGCAAGAAATGCACTAAAGTTTTTCAATTTTTTATGCAAGTCAGAGGTCTAAAATAACTGCACTTACATAATTTCTAGTTGTGAAGACTACAGTTTTGATGGCAGACATGAAGGACTACAATGATATCAATGATGTTTACAAACAATGTAAGTAGATATTTTACTTGTGTTTTACCATTATGGCTTTTGGAAGAAATTATGTTCATGGTAGTCAAAGTGTTTTAATGACTCAGACGATGTAGTTCCATATTCTTTGAAATTCCTGTAGAAATTTTTTAAAAATTTCAAGTATCAGATCAAGCAGTGCCTAATTTCATGTGGATTTGTGTTCTACCATCCCACTAACTAACTCACTGTCCTGTGAAGGTGAGCTCCTGCTATCCCTACAGATTGATATTCTTTGCCTCTTACCTTGCTTGATGTTCTGCTGTCCTGGATGTAATTCTACTGTAGGCAGCCTCCAATGCTGAATTTCAGATTTTATATCTCCATTTCTTTAAAGTCTGTATCTTTGAACAATTTGAGGGCCATTGTTATGGGACAGGGCTCGTTCTTTATACAAGGATGAGCCATGCTGCTCCCCTTGAAGCAAAAAGAACAATGCTTGGTCAACAAAAGTGAATGTAGACTGAAATAGGTGATTCCAACGAGCCATGTTGTGCAGAATAATTTGGGACAATTTGCATGAGCTCCTTATTTATATAGCTTTGGCTTTTAATTAGATAGCAGCATCTGGTCTTGAATGAAGTCTCATTGAGAAGCAAGTAAGCAAGTCTCCTACTTGTCAAAATGTACTGGGAGTGTGAGTGCTTGAGCAGGGTAAAACCAGACCAGCTGCATGCTTAGTTACTTGTTACCTCCAGCTGGAGTTTGAGCAAACAGTTGCTGCTGTTCTCTCGTTGAGTTTTTTAATCTTAATGCAGGACTCCAACACTTCCATTATTAACAGTTTTGTGATTACTGTCACTAGTAAAACTTTGACTTCATTGTGCAAATTTCTTGGAAGTGTTCAGTCAGGTTGGATGGGACTTTGAGCAATCTGATACAGTGAAAGATATTCTTGGCTGTGGCATGGTGGTGAACTGGACTATGTAATCTCTGAAGGTTCCTTTCAGTCTGGACTATTCTAATATTCTACAAATTCATCTCTTATGTCTTTACCAGTACCCTTCCCCATGCCTTACCCCTGTTCTAGTATCTGTGATTGTCAGGTCTAAATGGGCCTATTTTTCCTCTGTTTTCCTTTGATATGAGTAAGTGATGACTTCATGTGAATCTGGGATCTTTGCTGATGACTCTTTTGGCAGAGGCCTGTTTCTCTCTCCTGCTCTTTCTGTGAAAGAGCCATCTCCCACTCCCTGGTGTTTGAAACTGGATGATCACCATTCTGATTTAATCATCCTTTTGCAGCCAAGTTGGTGTGAAGGCCCTGCAGTGTCAGCTGAATACAGGTTATCACTGGCTGCCAGGTCACAACTGCAGCTGACTGCTTGGGGATGAGTGGTGGCTTGCTGAGATTGAGAGCAGCCAGTCACTAAAACAAAAAAAAACAAGGCTGGCATAGAAGTCTTGTAGCCTTGAACCTGAAACTGTTCCAATGATTTCGTTTTATACAGATTACTTTGAACTGTGTTTTATCAAGCCAAGGTTAGTGATTGCTGTATGTTTTCTGTTTAAATTACAGTTTTCAAGGCAAACTTCCCAGCCAGAGCAGCTTATCAAGTTGCTGCTTTGCCCAGAGTAAGTGTCACTTTTCTATCTACAAAAAACCCCAACATTTTCTGGAATACTACTGAAGCATTCTGACAGCTTTTCAAATTCCGAAATAGCTTTGATTGCAATTATTTCAATAAAGACTCTTAATTAGTTTCTTTTCTAAGTATACCATTGTTATTCCCACACATTGTCAGAGATCTGCATATTATATATGTGAGACACATATTTCTTTATGGTGGAAGATAGATAAAACATTAGAAATAAGGGGTTATGATACTTAAGTAAGCATAAATTGAGTTTACAACATACTGAACATTGCTAAATCAGTAATACAACTGTCAGAAATATAATCTCTCTCAAATGTCACTCTGTTTTTTGGGAAGTTGTGTTGTTCATCCTATTGCTTCATAAAATAGATAGATTAAATTCCTAATATGTTTCTTCATTGTTTTGTCACAGGGGGCCAGAGTTGAGATTGAAGCTATTGCCATTCAGGGACCTCTCCAAGATGCTTCAGCATGACTATAAGTAGAGACTGGATATCTTACAATGGCAGTTTTAGATTGAGTTAATACTTCTCCCTTATATCCTATTCCTACAGCTGACTAACAGCAGTTACATACAGCTGAAATCAGTAAACTTACTGAGGAAAGGTGCTTTCTTCAGGACTTAGAGTGAGTTCTCTACTGGCAAACTCTGAAAAGTGCCTGAGTCCTGCTAAAATCAGCTGAGCCAGATTGCAGGACAGGACCTGCCCTTTGTGGAGGTGACTGGATATTCAGGTATTAAGGTACATACCTGGGTGAATGTATTAGAGTTACACTATGGGTGATCTGGACATGGAAAACTATACTGATTTGTAATTGTAGGTCTTTAGTAAAAAATTTTAAATTAAAAAAATGACAGAATTGAGAAAACAGAACACATGACTTGCTTAGTGTATATCTTCAGAGGAATTTTACTGTATTCGCTTCTGAATTTTCTTAACCACTTTCATTACATAATAGATTACTGTTGGGACTCAAATTTTTTTTTCATATATAAGCAACTGCTTAACAAAGATAATAATTTCAGAAAGAAGAAAATTACGATTTTCTGAAGTCAAGTGGTACCTTTATAAATCAGATGGATATTAATATCTACATGTAACCTTTCTTGTGATCATTTTAATAGCAATTCAACTTTGACAGTTTTGATTTTAAAAAATCAATAAAATTTAAAAAATGTTTAATGAGAATAAAAATTGCAACTGCAAAATGTGCTTGTCTATTATGGGAACAAACTTTTATTTTCCTGATTGTGGTTTGATGCTCCATTACAAAAACAGTCTCCAGCTTGCTTATTCAATAACAAATTTGAACCAAGAGAATAGGCTTATTATCTACATCCTAATAGCTAAGGATTAAATTCTCCAGGACAGGAAGCTTTCAGCTACCATCATTACAGTTCTTGTAATTTTTTCCTCTGCCATTAAGGTCAGAAGCATTGGTTTGATGGGGTGAATAAGCAATATTGAGAAATCCAACTGGTGATGGTAATAACTTATCCCATCCCTCTGTATTGATCTTCTGTCAAGTAGAAATAGATACTGTGAGAACAGTCAGCCCTACTTACCAGTCCTAGATTTGATGTGAAACAGCCATTCCTTCTTTTCACTGAGCTTATAAGTTGTACCATTATAGCAAAAAGATTCATAATGAGGTTGTCACAGCAAATCTGTGCAGATATAAGGATTTTTTATAGTATTACCTTGCTTTCTCTGGGAGATAATTATTTTTATTAGAAGCAAGATAATGCCTTTGTTATTTCAAACAGCAAACTTCCAAACAGCCTTTGAAAAATGCCTGACTTTTCTCTAAATAAACTTCCTATGCATAAACTCTTTGTCGCTGTTCTTGTTCTGTCTCCTTGGCTGTACTAATAAGGCATCTTATGCTCTGTAGCTCTGACTCCATAAGCAATCCCACCTATGAAAAAACATGGTCAGATGTGTTAGGAAGGAGCTAATACTAGCTAATATGGCTATGACTTTCTAGGAAACACAAAGCTGATGTTCCTTCATTTTGTTAATTAATAATATTTAAAAATAATGTAATTTAATGGAGTTACATTTAAACTTTTAAATGGAGTTTAATTCCTAATTTATACTAGGTTTCTCTGTTACAGTTTTGTTTAGGTATAATTACTTGGTTAGGATCTATTTCACTGATTTGTAGGAGATTTAGTTCAAGTTCACTGTACATGAGCTGATTTCAATTGTTTTGAACATGAGCTGTGTTCAGCCTTTTATAACCCCAGTGGTTTATCCCTCCTTACTGCTGACTGCCTTCCTGCTGTGCCCGCCTGGAACCCAGCGCTAGGTGGCAGCTGCGGTGTTCTTGTGGCGTGCTGAGTTGAGCATTGGCCGGTAAAGTCCATCATAGCCCTCCTTGTGATTTCGGTGGCAGGAGAGTGAATACACCGCTGCTCTCCACAGTGAGGGACAGTCTGAGACTGAGATGTAAATCAAACACCTGGCAAAAGTTCCATGCTGGATGCAGCTAACAAGGCAGAACGTACTGCTTCCATTAAGTGTTTGTATCAGTAAGGTGCCATTCTGCAAAAACTCAGGAACAGAAATTCCCTTTTAGCTTTATGATTCTTCAGGTGAAGACAGTTTTTAGACTATATATTTAAATCAAAGCCCTTCAAGACATTTTCTTGATATGTATTCTTCTGATACAGGAAGTTTAGAGTAACTGTAATAAACACTCTTATTTACAGCTCTAACATAGTAGTTTTCAAAATAAAAAATCAGCCTTCCACAGAGAAGTGTAAAACATTTATTTTATTTAAGCAGAGTTATATTATTTGATTCTATTCTTTAAAACAAAAAGGCCAACTCCCATGATTCTCCAATATGAAAAGCCTGTCTCCGAGGTTAATTTGCAAACTACTAAGTACATAGACATTTAACAAATCCTGTTTTAAACAGAGATATGTTAAAAACAGGGTTTTGTTTTTCCTTTGCTAGACTGAGCTGCATGCAAAATATAAAGTTGCAATTCATCTTGTGCCATCCTGATTTTGGCATTTAAAATCTGTTTCTATCACATGTAACTAAAAAAACACAGCAAAACACCTCTTTCTGTGAAAGTTAAGCAATGTATAAAGTACTGAAATGTGTATGTTCTACCAAGTGTTTCTTTTAGTAAGACTCTTTCTTCTTTAAGTGATAATATTCTCTACAGGTTAAATAATGCAAAAAATAAATTTCAGTACCTAGTTTTAATGAAACTGTGTTCTCTTAAACCACATAAACTGTCCCAATCTTCTTCTGCCAGCACTTGCTCTTGTTGCAGTGTTTACCTAAAAGCAGTTCCTCATTGAGTGAAACAGCCAGCCCCAGCCAGCCAGATGTGCTGGGATCTTCTGAGACCCTACAGTGTGTGTATGTGTCTGCACAGAGCTGACAGGGTGAAAATTTAACCTCTTCTAGGGCTGTGTTTATTGGTAACTAGAAAAAAATTTCTACCAGAACTTTCTTGTTAGCTTGGCAATTAAGCTTGTTTCAAGTGCACTGCCCAGCACTCCCTTATGTGAGGAATGGTTACTTCTACCTCGGATGAAGTTGAGGACTGAAGATTGTTTAGCTTTTGATAAAATACAAAACAATCCTCAAAAATGCTTCACTGCATTTAAAAAAAAACCAACATGTTGCTTGAGATCTGGAGGTGTATCCTGTGAACACAAATATTGCAGCAAATCCTCCCTTTCTCAGCCTTTTAACATGAGAAAGCTCTTGGACAGACGAATTTCTGCTCCTTGCAACCTCTGAGTAGTCCCAGGTATGCAGGGGCAATTGACTGCAGGCAGTGGCTGTTTATCCATAGTACAAGCTTTGGTAGCTCCCAGACCATGAATACTAGACCACAATAAAATTTGCATGGTAGGGATGTCTTATTTCTCAGGACAGGAGTGTTCAGCATATTTCTAGCAAGCACATTTTGATAATTTAGGTGATTTAACTTTTCATGTTTAACATAGTATCAAGCATACTTCCTCTTTAGGAGAGGAAAAAGAGAATTCACCTGTTGTATTATAGACTTTGGAAGGATGAAGATGATTGAGAAAGACTGCTACTGTTTAGTCACTGCCTGGTTTATATTCCTCTTGTTTTCATCTGCATTGCTTAATGGCCTGAAGAAGCTGAACTGTGAGGAAGAACATACACAGTCACCTGTCTTCCTTGTTACAACAGTGGTAGAAAGAGTGACTCTGAGGTAAGCAGGTCATTTTGACTCCCTTGTATCTTTAAATTTTATTTCCAAGTGCAGTCTCCTCTGTTGCTATGAATACTACTGATCTCTGTCACAGAGCTCTTGTTGGTTTATGCTTAAAAATAGTTTAATGCTTGCCAGAATGCAGTTCATGATCTTGCCAGTAGGCAGCCTGTCTCTGCCGATTTAATCTCCTGTGTTTTGGAGTGGGGCTGTGCTAGTACATGTGCTGGTGGCTGAACTGAATTCCCTGCTCACAGGAGGAAATCAGCTGAGGATGGAAGTGCCTGGGGCATCCTGGAGCATGGCTGTACACCCAGCCCAGTCCCACGTCACTTTGGGGTGTTCTCATTCTGCTCAGTACCTGTTCCCCAGCTCTTGAAAGTGCATGGTGTTGTTTTTCATGGCTTCTTTTCATGGGATGGTTTGAGTATGTGGATAAAAACACTGACTTCTGTTTGTATTTTTGATGCTCACTTTAATGTCAATAGATTTTTTTAAATAGACGTAGCAGCTTCTTTTAGCTTCTCTGTTACAGAAGGCTAGAAAAACTAAAAAATAAATTAAAAGTGACATCCACCAAGCAAAAATTCCCTGAAAAAAATGTATGCATTTGGGTTTTAAAAGTTTGTAGTGTTACCTACAGGAAGTTGACATTAAATGAAACTGATAAGTTCATAAGAATGCTGCTAAGGAGAAAACCTTAGATTTAGTGATACAGCCAAGAACTATCAGCTTATACAAAAGGTTAATAGGCCAAGGATATCAATTAGATTATTTAATACAAATCAGAGTCAGCTGGAGTCAGACGTGCATGCAGTATGAAATTATCTTTAGGAGGGGATTTGTATAATTTGCTGGTGACAATTAGGATTTTTGTTAAGTCCTATTATACAATAAAGCTAATAAAAGAGCAACATTGTGCTTGCCATTTTTAGGTAACTGACCATTTCTCCATGTCCTACATCCTTATGCTAGAGATCCTGTAAACACAGTCCCCAGCAATGTATGATATGGAGTTCCTTTGCACGGGACACAGCCTCAAGCTGTGCCAGCAGAGGTTCAGGTTGAACATCAAGAGGAATTTCTTCACAAAAAGGGTTGTTAAACATTGGAATGGGCTGCCCAGGGTGGTGGTGGAGTCACCGTCCCTGGATGAGAAATAACTGGATGTGGCACTTACTGCCATGGTCTAGTTGACAAGGTGGTCTTCAGCCAACATTTGGACTCAAGTAACTTAGAGTTGTTTTCCAACCTAATTGATGCTGTGATCCTGCAACATTCAGCATCAGAACAAATTTCTACTCTTTATCTGACCCAAAACACAAATCCTATCCAGGGCCTGTTTTCACAGGAAATTTGTTTGAAAGTATTGCCATTCAGCTTCATCTCCAAAATTATTATTTAGCATTTTGGAAAACAACCCAGACAGTCCCTGATAGCATAGAGAAATATAATAGATAACCTTTTCTTTGGGAACAGGCTTATATTTGTCTCTTAGGTTTGTATTTTCTCTCTTAGAAGTCCATTTTAGAAGCCACAAGTGCATATGAGGAGAGCTACACAGCTTAAGACAGGTTATTATTGGCCATGAATGTTAACAGCTGTGAAGTTATCTTCTAGGATTTATACAACTAAAACATCCCACTCAATTAAAAATGCCCCCTGTATTGTACTACAATCCCTTCAAAAAATTTGAATTTAAAAATGGGGAGTAAGCAGCACACAGCTGGGTCCTGGACACTGCACTCTGTTATCTTCTATTTTCTGGAAAACTCCCCTCTGCATTTAGTTAGAGCTTGGTAAATTTCCTCTCCCAGTCCTCTACATGCTGCACATGTGAGCAGCTGCCTACATTGGTAGTCCAGGCACTCAGAGGACCTGCCTACATACAGTAATTGAAGAGAAAAAAGCTACACTCTATTCTTCATGCTATATAATGTTGGTTGAAGGTCTCAACAATTTGAAGCCAGTTAATCTGAACCTGGGAAAAGCTCCTAATTGAAAAAGGAATGATCAAACTGCTATTGAAAAGTTATGCTGGTGTGTATAGAAGGCACTCTGTGGCAGGGAGATGAAAGTTTGAGTATTTCAAAAACTTAAAGTCCTGGCAGCTTGACTTCAAAAAATCTGTATTATATAAAACTTTTTCTGATGCCTCCTATTCATGTGTCTGTAGCTTGTGGTTCAATCCATGAAAGCCTTTATATTTTCCCAACCAAATAAAATTTAAAAATATTCATGTGAACAGAAGAGCAGGCCCAAGAAGAGGACGTTCATTGAGACATAACTTCTATTCCTTGTTATTAGCTGTCTCTGAAACACATGGAGAAAATTAATTTAGCAATTAATTGAAGGTATAACTTTATATTCACTAAATCTGACAGGAACTCAAAGTGAAAGTTCCCTGGAAGTATCACAGGATGAAGGGGGTATCTGCTCTTCTCCCAAATCTGTAAGAATGTTCTGTATGGACCTAAAAGCAACCACTGGTTCTGCTTCCTCTTCCGCCATCCCATCATACACAGTTACAGTTCCTGTCACAGACATTAACATCACCTCTGTGAGTCACTGCTACAGTCTCTTCTCCTCCTCACCCTGCTGCCTTTTCTCTTAACAACTTTTGAAATCACTACATCCTTCCAGTCAGATTTGACACAGAGGCAGGCATTTCATGGACAGTAAATCCTAAGTAAGGACAAGAGACAAAAAGGGCACAAACTGAAGTGCCCTTTTAAAGACAAGATTATTTTTTTTCCTTTACTGTAAGGACAGTTAAGTTATGGAAATAGGCTGCACACAATTGATGGAGTCTCCACCCCTGGGGATTCAAAACCCAGCAGAACAACCTGTTCCTGCTTGAGCAGGACTAGACAAGTTCCAGAGGTATTTTTCTACCTCAGCTATTCCATGACAAAGTATGGCTGAGGAACTGTTTCCAGCCCCTGAAGCTACTGTTGGCCATCAGCAGCTGAGAAGCTCTGGGGCTCACCCAATAGCTAAAAGACAGTGCCCAAGGGGGTGGCTGGCTGAAATCACAGAGTCTGGCCATCCCAGCTCAAAGTACTCCTTTCCCAGCTAGGAGACTCAGCAAGGGTAGGGAACATGAGAATGTGGGACTTCCTCACACTGAGTTGTGGTGTTCCATGAGGGTGGGTAAGGAACACAGGAAAGGTGGGAAATTTTGCATGGGAATGAAGGTGACCAATAAAAGACATCCAACTGCAGTGATTCTCTGTGACTAAGAAGATTGTTAATATAACATGAAAAAAGCCAAGTCCCTTTAATGGTTTCAAATTCAACACTTAGTATGTTACTGAGCATTCCCTTGTTCTTAGGTGGATATCAGCTACCTTTAGAGCCCTATTTTAAACTTTTTTTGAACTAGGATCAGCTTGTATCCTCTTAGTCATACCCTCCTAGAGACAAAGCTGTGAATGTTTTTGATGTCTCTCAAAGTAAGAATTTTTCCATTCCCTTAAGCAGTCTTGCTTTCCTGCCCAGAATCTTGCTTTATTTCTCCAATATCCTTTCAAGAAGGAAGAATTGCTCCCTTACACAGAATCCCAGGTTTAAATGATCAGTATTCCCTTCTCAGCATTGTTTGCTCCTCTTGCCTGCAGCTGTTCTCTGAGCTGGGTCAGTGCACTCCCATCATCTGAAATGCATTACAGACACAGAAGTAGGGCTGCTCTTTCTGCTCCCTTACAAAACTGTTGGGGAGAATACTGTCAAAGCATGCAAATGGAGGAAGAATTTCAATAAAGCTGTAATCATCACTGGGTGAAATTTCTAGTAATGTTCAAGACAAAGTTGGAAGGAGCTCTGACCAACCTGATCTAATGGGTGGCATCCCTGCCCATGGCAGGAGGGTTGAAACTAGGTGATCTTTAAGGTCCATTCCAACCCAAGCCTTTCTATGATTCTCTTACTCCTCAGGAGCAGGAAGATGTTCTTTGAGGTTTCCTAGAACCAAGTTAAGTGCTTTGCTGAATTCATAGCACAGAGAGATGATTCTTTGCAAAAGCATAGGAGCTTTTAACAAAGAACACCATTTCCCTTAGCCCTCTGGCAGGAGCATTAGCAGCAGTGCAACAGCTGGCTTGCCCTAAGGCTGCCACACATCCTAGCATTGGGAAGGAACCAAAGACTGCTCACCCCAGGTGCAAGGGGCTCCTTTGGAAGTCATGAAAGACACTGATGTAAGGTATCTGCCACCCTTTCTGCTGAAGCTGTTCTCTTCTGAAATACAGAAATACCTGCTAGCCCAGAGAGATTTTGAGCATGACCAAGTACTACAGTGATTAGGGGGGAGGGGAGAGGGAGAAGGTGATTCCAGCTATTGCAATAAGATTTGCTGGGGGAAAGGGGCAGCTGCATTGCCTGCTCATCCTTTTCCACATTCCAGCAATACCACGGGGTAACCTGTGGTGCTGGAATTACCATCCCTGGAGGTGTTCAAAAAACGTGTGGATGCAGCACTTAGGAACAAAATTTAGTGATGGACCTGGCAGGGCTGAGTTAACAGATGGACTCAATGGTCTTTTCCAACCTAAATTATTCTGTGATTCTAATTCTGCCTTCTGGGGCATGTGAGCACCTTACATGATAGACTCACATGTGAGGTTCTTAGTGAATGTGGAGGAAGAAGAAGAAATAACTTTTGTAGCAAGACAGTGGTGACAGAATTTTGACCATAATCTCAAAGTCTGCCAGAGGGATAATCTTATCCCCTTTAATTTTTCTCTTCACTGATGTGACAGTTTTCCAGAGGAATTTTATTTGGCCTGTGACTTTTCCTTCCCACCATGTGACTGAATATGCTGTGTAATGTGCTTTCATCACAGCACCACACTGCTGATTTCAGCTGATAAGGAGAACAAGGGGATCTAAAATGACTGGCACAGAATGGAAATCACAAAGCAGCATTAAGGCTTAGCTTACAAAGACAAGCCTGCAAATAATAATAAGCAGAGTCATGACTTTAACAAAGGTTTTTTATTTTCCAAGACTGCATGTTACAGTCTATCATTCTTCCCAAAGTGGGAAAAGTTATCACTGATAAGGCTCGTGTATTATATAAAGATGACCCATGTAAAAAGCATGACTTCCAATTGGTTGCTTCCAAAAATGTCTTTTACTGTAAAGTATTTTTGATTCTCTTGTGTAAAAATGCAGAAAGCAGCTGTATGCCTACAGGGGAATAACAAGATATGCTCAATAGGGACAGGACAGTCTTTGCTGTGTCTCAAACAATAACCCATGTGGTCCTTCCCTCCTCTGTCAACATACCTATCTCTGTCGCTGCTGCGCTATCCACAGCTTCTCCTGTTTCTTCTTCTTTTGTTTCAGGCCCTTCACTTACTGTCTCACTGAGCAGCTCAGTTTCCACCTGTTCTCCCGTCTCACCTGGGAATGGTAACCATGGAGATCAAATTAGGATCCACTAAAAAAAGCACCAAGTGTCCCAGCTTCTTTCTGTAAACCTGATTCTGTTTTGTAAACTCTCCAATGCACATTATCAAGGTATCCCCTGAATGAACCCAGAGAGAACAAACAGGAAAACAAACACTTTTCATCATCCAGCTGAAATATGGTTGCCTCATGCTCATGAAGTTCTCGTAATGCTTTCACAAAATCCCCTTGATGCTGTATCCAAAGGAAATAATGAGTATATTTCTGCTCAAATTATTTTTTCCTGTATTTTATTTCAAAGATGTGCAGTTTTATTTGCAATTGGAAAAGAAACAGAAATAGAAAACATGGTAACATCCAAGTCTGGCTGAAACCCTGCTTTCCCAGGGAAGCTGCTGCCTAACTCATTTCCTCCCATAGCTATGAAAGCATAAAGGGAAAGCAAAACAAATGCTAAGTATCATATGTACCATAGCATCAAAATAGAAAATCCCTTCTTCCTCAGAAGAGAGGAAGAGAGTGCACACAAGTTAAGGCATTCCTTCTACCATGGAAATAATAGGAGCAAAACTCTTTTCCCCAAAAGCTTCATTCACTCGCCCTGCACACATCACTCGGTGCTAGAAGCCACACAACTCATCTTCAGAGAGACAGACAACTGTAAACATGTTTCTACTGATGAGATGTGACAGCACAAGGTCCAGGGTGTGCTGCTCTGCCTCTGGCACGCCCCTCAGGCTTACAAATGGTGAATAATGAAATTGGAGTTTGCAGCTGGGCAGGATGTGTGTTTAACAGGTGAGCAACCCGTCATTTACTGCTTACATAAAACAAGGCTTTATTCCAAAGGATAGATGATTATGTAGAGGACAAAATTCTTCCATGAAGAGACACAGGAGAGAACAAAGCACTCCAAAAACCATGCTCAGCTACAAAGGATGAGCAAAGACTGGGATTCATAGAGCCAGTTCAGAGACAAGCAGCACAAAGCCACAGGAGTAGTGGCAGTGTGTGTAACTGGCTCTGGAATTCACATGGATCAGTCCTTCTGCACCTCGCACTTCTGCAAGGCCCAAGTGGAGTGAGGATGTCTCCCTGCAGAGAAATACTCCTCATGTGCTTCACCTGCTTGTTCCCTGAAGAAGAGCTACCCCAGGAATGCATCTGATTCCTTACTGAGCTACTTTGTACCTTTTAGGAGAAATTTTATTCCTCCTGTGAAATATTCATCTTTGGCTAGTGCATGTCCTCTGGGCACTAGCCCAAGGAGGAGCACAGCCTGCAATTTCCAGGAAGGAGCACACCTCCTGCTAGAGGTCCTCCACAGCACATGGAAATCCCCATCACCTCAGACACCACTGCTTCCTCACACAGCCTCTCTCCCCACCCAGTCATCTCCAAGCATTGGTGCAAAAACAGCCCTATATCTCTCCACTACTGCTTCTATTCTGCTTGTCTTGTAGCCAAGCTTCAAGGACACACTGGAGATGCCAAGTGTCCAAGTGTGCATCAAAGAGATGCGTTTTCTTCTACATCCAGCTTTATCTGTGCAGGGACAGTTGACACACAATTAATAATTAGTAATTCATAATTTAATATATAGTACATGTGACTAAATAATTGAGCCTTGGGCTGCGCAAATATTAAGGAATGTCTCTGAGCTACCCAGAGATACAATGTTTTAAATGAGGGGTATGGTGGGACATTTTACCTGCTAAGAATAAAAAGGACATGAAATTAAATAGAAGAGGTGGAAATGCTGAACAAATTTATTACAGCTTGGACTTGTAAATCCGAGGCTTCCCCAGCCACATTCTTCTATGCCTCACATTGTACAGACTCCCTGGACCAAATTCTGACTCCAGAAGCTCATTTGAGGCTCTTAGTAAAGCCAAGAGGACCCACACAGAAGTCCCTGGAGGTAAATTTTGGTCTCCTGAATTTATGAAAGCACAAATATTACCCTCAGCGAGGTGCTCCTCTTCAGTAATATGTACTTTCTCGACGACTTCCACTAGAGAGCTGTCACTGCCCTCTGCCAGCCCACTGTCCTCTGCTGGTTCTGGAGATGGTGCCCCAGCATCTTCTCCTGGTGCCGGTGGTGAGGGGCCCCTGCTCTCCTCTCGCCACACAGAGGGCAGCTCGGAGCTCTCCTCCTCTCCTGCGGGCAGCGGCTCGGTACCCTCTGGCTCCTCCCTTTTACTGACCGACTCTGTCTGTCCCTCCACGTCCCGGAGCGTGGCTGAAGCCTCCTCTCCCGGCAGCTGCTCGCCTGGGCTGCTCTCCTCCGAGGCAAGGCTCACACGCTCTGCCGGCTCCAGCTGGGCTTGGGCAGCTGCAGTTCCATGGTCATCTGCAGTCGGGGTGTTTGCACCTGAGGATGCTTTTAGTTACAGCAGGGCAAGGAAGGAAAAAGAGAATTACAGATAATTGGTGAATGGGCACATAAGCTGGATGACAACTAAACCCGCAGTGAACCACACAAGCAGTACCTGACAAAGAGCTCCCTCCTGGCTAGGGAAAACACTCCCTCACAGGTCTGCTGCACATATCCACACATATCCAGTGGAGGATGGTGTGGCTCTTACAGTAAAAATAAGTTTTCATTTGATGCATGCAATACATTTTCATATTAAGAGAGCAGACTTGTTTGCAAGTCAATGTTCTATTACATTTCCCCTGTGAATCTGCAGTGTGCAGGTGGTGTGCTGGTGATGGGACACTGCAAGGAAGCACCTTTTCCTGCCCCAAACCAAGCACTGCATCAATGTGGGGAGTGTGAGGGAGCTGCTGTCCTGGGCTGTGTGTGAGAAGTTCTGGTGGTACCTTCAGGTGGACTGAATAAAACCCCTGAAAGCCCAGAGGATGAGCAGTGCTCACCTCTTAAAACAAAAACCACTTTGTCTGTCTTTTTCAATACTAAACTACTATTCATACTATGATTTGTCTAACAAAAAAAATCAGCAACAGGAAGCCTAAACAAATTAAAACTTCCACTTCTTTCATCTTTCATCAACTTATTGGCTAGCAAAGCAATGGGGTTTGGCAGAAAAAAAAATTATGAGTAAAGAATTGACAAAATTACTTTGACAGGTATTTAAGGATAAAGCTGAAGACTCAAAATGAGCTATACCTACCTATCAGACTGACTTACTAACATTCTAATGAAATTCAGTTTGACAGGATCTTGTACTTAACCTTTTCCTAAAGAATGTCAGGATGAAACCCCTGGTAATTCAAGCATGAAATCTGTTTATATAATAATTACAAAACTGGAAAAACTGTATTTTCTAAAAAAAATATGATTGCAGTGTCAAAGCCAGTAAGCAGAACCATATGATACTGTTCACAGATGAATACATCTACACATGTTCATATAGACATAGATGAACAGGAAAAAAAGTAGTACACCCTGCTCTTAAAACATCTGCTTGAATACTGCTGCCATTAAAGTAAGTTTAGAGTTCTTTTGAGACATTTAAACAAAACAGCTCCCGAACAAGAGTCATCTCGTCAGCATGTGCCTACAGACCCAGGGAAGGATGGCTAAGCCAGAAGAAGAGCAAGAACTGAGAATCTGGACTGTTGAGACAGACAGAAGGCAATTTTGACTATGAGACAGATAAAATCTCATTTGTCCCAGGAACTGTCAAATCATCCAAGTTCCAAACAACCCCTCCAAATCCACAGTGGTATGGCAATTTAGAATGCAACAACAGGATGCAAACTCAGCAATGGGTCTCTGACAACAGACCCCCCCCAGGGCAAGACCCTGCCTCTGACAGCTGCCAGGGGCAGGGGGAAGGGCAGAGGGCCCCAGCCCACGGGGCTGTCTGTGGAATTCCTGGAATCTGTCTGTGGAATCTGTCAGTGGAATTCCTCTGTCAACCTGTTCAAGCCCCTTTGGAACCTGTTTACACTCAGTCTCCACTATACCCAATGGGAATGAGGGCTGCAGCCCACTCACGCCCCCTGTAAAACACATCTTGGCTGGTTTTAAGCCTGCTGCTGGTCATTTCATCAAGTGGCAGTTCTTGCATTATGAGAAACAGCAAATATATTTCCCTGGTTGCTTTCTCTAGATCTCTATTACACCTTGTCTCCCAAGCACTCCTTTTCCTAAAATGAAGTTCAAAGTGAAACAGATACCAAATCAGAATAATAGTGAGTAAATGTTTAACTTAAGCTACTCTAAGCAGTGATTAAAAAAGTAATGTATGCTCAGAGATCAGAAATTTGATGTTTTCACATTTTTATTTTTCATCCCTTTAGACACTTTTCACACCTTCACCTTGCTCATTGCCAGATGGAGAGAGATCATTTAAAGCCTACAGACAGAAACAAATGAGCCATGAAAATTAGCATGTTATACAGAGTTTTAATTCATATTAGCAGTAAAAGAAACAATTCAAATGTATTATTACTAAGAATTTCCTGCAGCTGCTATAAGCACCAGCCCTATAACTTCCAGCTAGCTCTCTCTACATCAAAATGTTTTATATAAATTGGATTATAAAACACTGCCATGCAACAAGATCTGCACTGCTGGAAACCCTGGAAGCATTCCTGTGCTCTCATCTGAAATGCAAAGAATTCCCTAATATGGAAAAAATAAATCCTCTCAGTAATCTGTTCAATATCTTTATCCCCAAGAAAAATGAACATCATGAGCCAGTCAGCATTCCTAGGATTCTTTGTTTTGTTTTGTTTTTAAATTTAAAATTTTTATTTTTCCTGCTGTAGACTCTTTTAGCTGGAGAAAAAAGAAAAACACAGTGAATGTATGTGGACCATGGCTACAGTATTTTCTCTTTGCCTTCTTTCCTTTTGGAAAAGCCTCAAAATTTTATGAGTTACACATCAATGGAAGAAAATGAAATACTTTTTCCCATTTTCCTCTATTAACTTATTTAGAGAAAAATAAGAAAATTATCTTTTCTTATTAAAGTAAATAGCAAATTGTTAACACATCTGATTAGTGATTGCCAAATTAATGCAGATCTTTCAGCTGTAATTACAAACTGCATTTCATCCTTGCCATGAAATTAGTGTATGTATTTAGAACATTTCATGACCTATCCTGCCAGGAACATGCTTTTATACAGAATAATTAAAATACTCAGAATAAATGACTTCTGCTGTTTCTTTGAGCCCTTTAGTGCTCTTGTGCAGGTATCATTTAGTGGAGGTTGGAAAGGCAGAGCAATTGGTACATTGACCAGGTGACTGAGACAGCAGGTACAGCATAAAGAGGTTTCTCCTGATTCTTTCAGCAGATCTGTGCTGGCTCTGTGGGGGCACAGACAATGCTCAGCCCACAACCTGCTCTCCTCTCTGCAGTCACAAGCCACAGCACCACAAGACAACACACAGAATATAAACCCATGCAAAAACCACGGATGCTGCAGGCAGAGTAACAGCAACAGATCATAACTCAAGAATATAGGAAAGAAATGCAGTAAAATGAAATGCAAACAACTTTTTGGGTCTGCCTTCGAGATGTATCTTTTTGGAGAGGACAATTCCTGTAACTGCAGCATTCAGGTTCTTACAGAAGTGTTTCCAAACCTTCCTTGGAGCAAAGAGCTAAATATGATGAATATGGAAACAAAGTTCTGTTTAGTTCTACTGAATAGCAAGGATATTCTTATGGAACATCCCGCAAATACACCTTGCTCACAAAATTAGTCTGCTGTGACTTGAGCCAATTAAAGCCACAGGAACATTGTCGATGCTGCACACTATGTCGGGGTGGATTTTGTAAGAAAAAGGAAGGATAGCGGGGTCAGATATTGCCAGTTCATTATTCTTTTAAAGAAGGAAAGAAAGGCAAGGTACTAGACTGGCAAGGTACTACACAAAAAGACCAACAGCAGGATTTACCTGGAAATTAAACAAACAAACAAACAAAAGCCTGCGGAGCCGAGTGGAAGTGACTTGGGCACTCATTCACAAGAAACACCAGTTTCGAAGCCATCACTCGCGGGGCGCAGCTCCCTCCACGGCGCGGGCAGAATTAAAAGCCGAGGGAAGCCCGACGGGCTCCTGGCCCCGCTTCTGGGGTTTCTGTGGGACGCGCACCCGCGGCGCCTTCCCCGCGACGGGACTGAATGGAATGGGACGGCACGGGACGGAATGGGACGGGACGGGACAGGAGGGAATGGAATGGGACGGGACGGGACGGGACGGGACAGGAGGGAATGGAATGGGACGGGACGGGACGGGACGGGACGGGAGCACCTGAGCGCAGCGCGGCCCCGCATCCCCGAAGAGCTCTGCGGGCTCCCCCCGCCCGGCTCGCCCGCCCCGCTCACCCGGCAGCTGCGGCGGCTCCTGGGGGCGGCTGCGGGCGCTGCTGGAGCAGCCCATGGCGGGGCCGGCGGGCTCTGCAGCCACTCCCGACGGCCGGCTCGGCTCGGCTCGGCTCGGCTCGGCTCGGAGCGCGGCTGGCGCGGCCCCGGGCAGCACCGAGCTGCGGAGCCGGGGGGCGGCCCCGGCGCTGGAGCCTCCCCCGGCGCTCAGGCCTGGCCAGCTGCCCCGGGGCGGATTCCTGCGCCGTGTCAGGGTGCCACAAGGTGTGAGTGGCAGCCGCAGGGAAGGGACTGCAGGTCCGTGTGCCCCGGAGCTTAACCGTGGGGGTGTGCTCGTAAACCTCGCTAGCAAGCTTCGAGCCACGATAGCAGCGGGTAGAGGAGTCCCGCAGCCCGGCTGAGAGGGTGCAGGTCTGGGCAGCTGTCTTAGACGGACTCGGAGGCCACGCCGATGTTCGGCGGTCCGTGAATGTGGCTGAGCTTGTGAACCTGAGACTGAGGGTGTGGGGTGTCTGCAGGGAACCCCAGACCGGACCCGGGGAGAGGAGCAGCAGGGCTGGGTTATCTGCACTACCTGTATGTGGTTTGGGCATCCCGGGGGTGGGCTCGTAAACACACAGGAGCCGCAGCCCCGCTGCCAGCCCTCTCTGCACACAGGAACAGCTGCGGGATGCAGCCGTGGGATTGAAAGGGACAGACAGACAGATCCCTGGGGTCTCAGCAACTCGGAGGCAAAAAGGAATCCCTGGTTTGCAGAGTCCTCTGGGTTCAGTGGCCACCTGCAACATCCTTACCATCAGCCTGAAAGGTAAAATAAAGATAATATTTTTATATTTGCTTATAGGCAAATCAACAGATGTCCAGGAATGCTGAGGTGACCTAAAAACTTCCCAGAGTGTAAGAATGAAGAATCTTTGCCACTCATTTGCTTGCATGAGCAGATAATGTATGTATTGCACCCAAGACATAGAACATAATTTTATTATGTTCTAAATGAACTTTTTTTATCCACCCATAAATTTATTCAGACAAATCATATTGTATTTGAACACTTTTCAAGGGTTTGTGATGTTCCACAGCCAAGGTACAGCCGTAGCAATTACTCTAATAATTTCTGCAATAGTTTCTGCTTCCTCAGTTTGAATTAATTTTCAGGATGCTTTTAGAAAACAACAGAAAAAATATCCATTGCTCTATAGATTTCTATGTAGCTATATATAAGATTACTATGAGACGCTAGACACTGAAATGCTGGTAACTTTACAATTAGCAAAATGTGTTGCTCTGTGACAACAAAAGCAAAAGTGCAAAAAGGGGCTTAGCAACTTGAAAATTAATTTCAGAAATATTTAACATTCATGCTGCTGGTGTGAAATCCTTACTGCTGTGGTGGGAGCGAGCTCAGTTCCCTACACAGCACGTGGAGATTTCCTGTACAGCACAGATGGAGACACCCAGGCATCCCACTGCTCTGCTGCCACAGGTAGGAAATAGAAGTGCCTGGGACTCCGAAGCTGAGGAAGCCTGACATGCCAGGAAACATACCTGATATCCCACCTTTCTTCTGTGACCTTTCAGAGAAGTAAGTATAGAGCTTATGGGCTGCCAGGACAGGCTCATCAAACACTGGGCACTGAGGGAAATAAGAAAGGGAAGTTTACATTCAGTTCATTCTCTTGCCTGCAGTGCTTTATACCTGCTTCCCTCCTGCCCCAACTAAAGGGTGAGCTGTGCAGAGTGCATCTCCCATCCAGCTGACTGATGCAGCAGAGAAAGGAACTCAGGGTTTACAAGGCCAGAGAGAGGAGCACGGGTCAGTGTGTGCTGGCAGCAAGGCTCACCGGGGGTGCTCTGTACTTCATGTTCTTTAAACAGGCCTTGGAGAGGATACAGAAATAGAAATGAGAGCCCAACGGCATTTTGGCAGGTGACTCCCACAAACACTAATTAACAATGTCATGGTCTTCCCTCTTCCTGTGTGAAGGAGAGGTTGCATCTTTTGGGCAGGAAGACTGGGCATAACAGAGCCAGTGCTGGAGCTGGGCACGGGCAGGGCCACGCTGGGACAGGGCTGCACCTCAGAGTTTCGGCCGGAACGCCACGGCCAGGCCAGGCTTGGCCAACGTGTGCCCTCTGCAGAGCACTCAGCACAGACACATCCCCCAGGATAGCTACACTGCCTCTCTGCCACCCTCCCACCTTCTGGGAGCATGGGATTGCACAGACCTTGTACAGAGTCCCAAAGAAATTCATGCAAGTGACACTGTGGCTGCAGCATGATGTTGGCAGATGAAAATCCTTGGTAGGTTTTCCATCCCATCCCTTCCCCTCGGCAGAGCACCTCTCCACAGACTCTCTGCCTCTAATCCAAAACACCCAGGTACTGCCCCAGCTGAAGGCAGTACCAAGGTAGCGTGAAATACAAAGCTGTGTTTCGTGTCAGGTACAAACAGGTGACGTGTGTGTTTGTGAATGTGAAATGTGTGGACCCCGACAATGGGAGAGCTGTGAATTCTAATAATAACTGAGGAAAATAAAGCATGGAAAAAGGCCTTTGAACCTATCTTTTGTTTGCAATTAACCCTGATTGATTTAGAAGCATTGGAATTAAGGTGTTAAGGATGTTGCTTTTTGCTTGCATTTAATCCAGAAAGAGCTCTGCAATAATAACCTTTTGAAGTATAGTATTTTAGATTTGAAGTATAGTAATTTTAGAATATTACTTGTATCCTTGAAACTATAGCTTTGGAATATAAATAAAGGAAATATGCTTATCTCATGCCTTATTTGAAGCAGAGAAAAACAGCTTGAGAAAGGAACATGAACATCACCTCAAGGATTTATGGTTTCAACCAAAGGGAAGCTGGACATTACTGTTGTTGGATTTATAGTCTCTGCAATTAAAAGGTGGACCCATATCTGGGGAGCTGGACTCCACCAGATGGGATCAGATGGGATTCGTCTTTCTTCTTTCGGAAACTGGACCGCCACCATCTGGGATACTCCTTTTGAGATACATCCTGAGAAACTAAGATCACAATAGTGTATAGAATTGTGATGTAATAATTTGGAATAAAAATTGCTGATGAGAAAAAAATTGGAAATAGAAATCAGCTGAATAAATAGAATCAGCTGAAAAAGCTGATGAGTACCCCTATAAATACCGGTAACCCTCAATTATCAGTGTGCAGTTGGAGGGAAAACTTCCCCCACTGTACCCAGCACTGTATTGCTCATACTTTACCATATTAAATAATAAATTGATTGCTGCTTGAATATTGGCCTAGTCAAGCTTCTTATTCATAACAGTAGCTAAAAAAAACCCCAAACCTTTAAGAGCAAATAAATGAAACAATTATATTAAGCTAGTTATTTTATTCAGGAATACAAATTGGGAAATTAAAATTAAATGTAAACTATGAGTATTTAGGGATAGCTGTATATCCAGAGGCAAAGTAACAAATACCTATGACCCATTATATACAATCAGCAATACACTTCCAAAAGCAAACTTCATGAAGATTTCTATAAGGCCCTGATAATTTTTAAGTTCTCCAGGCCAGTACTATATGACCAAACTTGTTGCACTTATTCGAGAGCTCACTAGCTGTTAAGATTTTTGAGTATTTTAGATATTATTCCTACTGCAGCAATTAAATTTATATCTATTTTCTGATAGATATAAGAAAATCTTATATCTATCATAATTTTGTTACTTTCCAAATCACAGTGATTTTTCAAGACATTATGTTAATCAAAAGTTTTCTTTTTGATGACTTCTTTTCTCAACTCTTTGGGTACAGGACGACCAGTACCTAAACAAGTAATAAAATATTCGAAATTGTTTATTGTGTCAAGTAATTCAGGCCAAATGTTTCATTGTTTCAAATATTTGTAGGTCCATTGAAGGCTGTTCTGTGATGCTGATTTATGAACTGCAGAGAGCTGCCTTCTGAAACAGCTATTTTTGTTTTGCCTGGGATAGCAATGACCTTGAAACTTAGCTCCTAGTACATGCCTTGTAATTTTCTGGAAAGGAGGCAATCTGAAGATTTTCTCATCAAACTAATTACTGTCTTTAGAAATCTGCACCTGTGGATTTCTGCACAATTTGACCCTTAGAAAATGCAGTTTCTCATTGTACTGGCACTGGATTTAAGCTGGCTACACATAGAGGTATAAAAATGTATGTATTTATACATGTATATTTTTATGAATGTGCACACACACATCCTTAGCATGCATTTATTGGCTGAAAATCTATCCAGGTCTGCAGATATCCCGGTATTTGCAACAGGCAGTATTTAACCTCAAGGTTTTCCCTGTTCCCTAATGAGATAGCCTTTCTCCACCTGACCCATTTTTCTCCACAGCTCTTTCCTTTCCTTTCCTTTCCTTTCCTTTCCTTTCCTTTCCTTTCCTTTCCTTTCCTTTCCTTTCCTTTCCTTTCCTTTCCTTTCCTTTCCTTTCCTTTCCTTTCCTTTCCTTTCCTTTCCTTTCCTTTCCTTTCCTTTCCTTTCCTTTCCTTTCCTTTCCTTTCCTTTCCTTTCCTTTCCTTTCCTTTCCTTTCCTTTCCTTTCCTTTCCTTTCCTTTCCTTTCCTTTCCTTTCCTTTCCTTTTTTCCTTTCCTTTCTCATAGTAAAGCTGCTTCAAGGGTGGCTGAAGAAAGGCTTTAATTCAGATCTTACTGTGCCTTACTGTGATTCTAAATTCCCAGTAATCTGAAACAGAGAGCTGCATTTGTCTGCCTGACAATACAGGGGATAGTTCAGTGCATGGCCCTGTGAAAATCAGATGAACATGTTTGCATTTGCTGTAAATGCAATGATTATCATAGAACACAATCTGTCACTTTTAATAGCTCTGATGTGCAAAACTAGAAAATAATGGCTGCAGGTGTTCACACAGCATTGGTGTGTAATTGTGCAGAGACTTGACCAGACTATAAATCAAAGCAGGACTGTATTTTTTGCATATTTTCATCCTATTGAAAAAAATATGTTCTGTTCATATTTGTAGAATGAAGATATAGGCTTAGCTTGTCAGAAGATCAGTTTT